GTAGTTATGAGCACTAGTAAATCAAGGTTTACTCAAGGAAATCAGTGGCCATATGTGTGGAAGAGGATGGTAAGGAGGAAAAGTCTTCCAGTCCATCTGTATCATACCTCATCAGTGGCTAGAAATTTGCCTCCTTGTAATTTACCTCAAGTTATTTCATGGGTGGGAACTCACTGATCTCACTTGCTAACTTCAAGAGAGCAGAAAACATTTCTAACATAAAAATGGGACTTTCAGTGAAATTCCACTGGTGTCTTTTCTCATTTGCTGCCACATCATCACTTTTTTTTTATAGGAGAATTTCTGTTTAGACATTTTCCAAAGCTCCCCGCTAACACATTGATATTGTCCCAAGTCTCCAGCTTGGTGTTCAAGAATCTCTATAATCTGGCCTCCCGAACTTTACCAAACATCTACTACATCCTTTCACAGAATACTGCAGTCCAGCGAAAAAGAACTATTTGCAGTCTTCTCAGTCACTTCTCATCCCCACTCCAGACCTTTGCTCATGCTCTCTCCTCTAGTCTGTGCAGAGACACTTTCAACCTCCAGCCCCTATATCAGCTCTCACAGGAAACATTCCTTGCGCATGCCAGCAGGGTGGTCATCTTTTATCTTATAAATTCTTGCCCAGTTTTTTGTCCAGTATCCTTCAAGTTTTTAGCTGGAATTACAGTAAGGAATATATTTTGTATTGCACACATTTCACTTAAATTTACACACACACATATACACCTGCACAAAATGTTCATGAGATCATTTGCGAATCATTCTAGTATCATCTCTTTTTTTCTTTTATTTGGCAAAAGGCCTATGATCCACTAACCAGATTTTGTTGTTGTTGTTGTTGTTGTTGTTGTTGTTGTTGTTGTGGACTCAAGTGTACAATCCTATAATACGTCAGCTGGATATTGCCTTGTGTGCCCACCACCCAAAGTTGAGTGTATGGTGACAGAGGAGATTTGACTTTGGGTGGCCAAACAGTTTTAAACCACAAAAGTTTTAAATCACTGTTTAACTGCATCATAAACTGCCCTTTGAAAAACACTGGTCTATGCACAAAATATCCTTTATTATTTATTTTGTAGAAGCATATGTTCCCCACCAGATTCAAAGCTGCACAAGGGTGATACTATGTGGTACCTTATAGAATCTTTTACTGTATCAAATAATGCATTTCATATTAGTTGTTAAGTGTTTGTAGAAGAAAAAAAGGGAAGGGAGAAAGTGAGAAAGGGAGGGAGGGAGGAAGGAAATAAAAATATATCTGAAGATGTCAATTAAACTCAGAAGTCAAGGTTGTTAATATTTAAGTAATCAATAGATGAGAATCATTCAAGTTATGTACAAGAAAATTTTCCAGGCAGTGTGATATGTGCTTCTTTGAATAACTAACTTCTTTAACCACAAACTAAACTTAGAAAAATAGTGTCACATCATGGACTCTAGGAGAAAAAGAAAAATAGTAAGAACAAAATGACTAACAGAAGATAACCTCACCCATGCTATGTTATTTCTCCATGATGAATACTATGGGAGGGAGTGGGGCTACACCAATGGTGTGAAGTTTTTCACAAACTATTTCACTGCCAAGAGGCAAAAAAAGTTTTAGACTAGATTTCCATAAATCCTGTGAAGAAAGTAATTTCGTCACTTCTGTATGCACTGAACACATCTATATATGCTGAATACATCAAGCAATTTCTGTGCAATGTCTATAAACAAAGTTGGTACTAAGCACTAACACTTCTAAGCACCTCAAAACTATAAAGCAGTAATTTTCAACCAATGTGCCACAAGAATTTTAAAACATGCAATACCTAACTATAGAATCAGGGTATCTCTTTTCCCTTAGATTTTCAAATAAAAAATGACAATAGCCAATACAACAATAGCCATCCAGTGTGAATCAAAATGATAACTTTTCTTGTCAGATTGACAAAAATGTATTTTTGGGTGTGCCACAGAATTTTAGTAATTAGTTTGTGTGTACCATGAGATGAAAAAGGTTGAAAATGGATGCTATAAAGTGAAACAGGACATATGCCTTATCTCATGGCATCTGAAATATTGCTTTTCACTGACATGAAAGATTATTGGTATTTCCTATATTCAAAGAGAATTAACTTTATTTTTATTCACTATAACTGAAGAAGTTAACACAATATATTTTAATGTAACAAAAGTTATAATTGATGAGTTTAGATCTACATTTTAAATGATTACAATTATTTTAATATGCCCAAAGACAATATTTAAATTGTACTATTTTTGAAATGTAAAATGCTCAATTATAATACCAGGCTACATATCTTATTTTTTAATATTTAAAATTTTTTAATTACAGTTGACATTTAATATTTCAAAGAGAAAAATTTTGGATGAAATTTAAATCTGGGAAGTCATACTGATAACATACATTTACTAAAATGACATAGCTAGTTCAGGACTTGAATATGTCTTTGTTATTCAGAATCCATCCTCCAAACTAAATGCTGCAGTGTATTCCATTGACTCTACAACATGAAAATAATGACTTCTATGGACACGAATATTTGTTCTAAGTCCTCTGTAGACATTTGTTTGTTGTTTTTTGATACTCAAACTAACAGTGAGTGTACAGAGATAAGAATAACAAAATAGAGGATTAAAAGATTGTATAAATGCTAATAAATCACAATATTATGTGAAAAAAAATTTTCATAAATCACTGAGAATTAACTCCTACCTCACTCTGAAAAAGTAATAAATTTCAATGGGAGTTCTAAGAATTATTATAAAATATTGACTTTCTACTGCCAAAACAGAATTGTTAAAAGTAAATATAGTTCCAGCTAATACTGAGGCATAGGTAGATACGCTTTGCCTCCTCACACAACCAAAAGAAGGACAACACAAATTTAAACACAAAAAATAACCAGAACTGCCAATCAAAATTGAACTGTATGGAAGTCCCACAACCAAGGAGTTAAAAAAGAAACATTCATCCAAACTGGTAAAGGGGCTAAGACCAGCAGCTCAGGTGGTGAGGACTTGCAGCACAGTGGTCCTCCTCTGGAGGAATAGGAGAGGCAGTGGCTGGCAGAGTGGGTGGTCAGACCTTTGCGTCGGAACCCCCCCACCACCACATACAGCATCACAACACAGTGACATGGGTTGCCCCACCCTGGTGAACATCTAAGGCTCTATCCCTTACTACATAACAGGTGTACCCAGACAAAAAATATGGCCCAAATGAAAGAACAGATCAAGACTCCAGAAAAAATACAACTAAGCAACGGAGAAATAGCCAACCTATCAGATGCACAGTTCAAAGCACTGGTAACCAGGATACTCACAGAAACGGTTGAGTGTGGTCACAAAATAGAGGAAAAAGTGAAGGCTATGAAAAGTGAAATAAAGGAAAATGCACAGGGAACCAACAGTGATGGGAAGGAAACGGAGACTCAAATCAATGGTTTGGACCAGAAGGAAGAAACAATCATTCAACCAGAAGCAAATGAGGAAGAATTCAAAAAAATGAGAGGCTCAGGATCCTCTGGGACAACTTTAAACATTCCAACATCCAAATTATAAGGGTGCCAGAAGGAAAAGAGGAAGAGAAATAAATTGAAAACTTATTTGAAAACATAATAAAGGAGAACTTCCCCAGCCTAGCAAAGGAAATAGACTTCCAGGAAGTCCAGGAAGCTCAGAGAGTCCACAGAAGTTGCACCCAAGGAAGCACACACCAAGGCACATCATAATTACATTATTCAAGATTAAAAATAAGGAGAGAATCTTCAAAGCAGCAAGGAAAAGGAGACAGTTACCTATGAAGTAATTCCCAGAAGAATATCAGCTGATTTCTCAAAAACAAAAAAAAAAACAACCCTTACAGGCAAGAAGAGGCTGGAGAGAAGTATTCCAAGTCATGAAAGGCAAGGACCTACATCCAAGATTACTCTATCCAGCAAAGCTCTCATTTAGAATGAAAGGGCAGATAAAGTGTTTCCCAGATACCATCAAGTTAAAGGAATTCATCATCGCCAAGCCCTTATTATTTGAAATATTAAATGGACTTATCTAAGAAAAAGGAGATCACAAATACAAACAGTGAAATGAGAACAAAATCACAACTATCAACAAGCGAACCTAAAAATACAAAAACAAAAACAAAGTAAGCAAACAACTACAACAGGAACAGAATCACAGAAATGGACATCACATGGAGGGTTATCAGCAGGGAGGGGGATGGGAGATAATGGAAGAAAAGGTACAGGGAATAGGTAGCATAAATTATAGATAACAAAATAGACAGGGGGGAGGTTAAGAATAGTATGGGAAATGGAGAAGCAAAGAATATGTGTGATCCACGGACATGAACTAAGATGGGGAATGCTGGTGGAAGAGGGGTGCAGGGGGCAGGGGAATAAAGAGGGGGAAAAATGGGACAACTGTAATAGCATAATCAATAAAATATATTCTAAAAAAGTAAATAAATAATATAGATCACAATTGCTTTTATTTCTATGCCTTTGGTTGTTACAGTTTAGAGAAATAAACCATTTGAAAATGCAGATTTATGGTGGCTTAATGACCAAAACTTTAAGCATGTTGAATATTGCAAATATTTAGTAAAATATCCACTGCCCAGAGAGTGCCACTTTAATTTTTTCAGCTGACATTAGTTTAGTTGACTTAAAAATAGTCGTTTCAAATTCACACATTCGTTCCTTACTAGTTTTTTCAGACACTATTTTGTTTCAGACCCACAGACTGCTCCTTCCAGCCATCCTGAAAATTCATGTCATTGGTGAAAAGCAGATGGGGTTGTGAGTGAATAATAACCTCAAGACTGAATTCATAACAATCAGAAAATTAATTTCAAACTCATGCCCTACTGACTGGGTTAGCAGCAACACACATATAGTTTATTTTATTTAAATGTAATAGTCTGAGATTTGGCAAAATAAATATGAATTTTAATGTAACTGCTTCAACACAATTTACTTTTTCAGATAATCAAACCACTCCTGCATTAACCTCAGCAACACCTTTTACAACAGAAGCATCTTTTTCCATGCAAGTCGCAAAGTCGTCATCACCAAATGTTACAACATCAACAGCTGGAACATCTCCCAACGGTAGGGTAAACACTTAGTGAAATTTACTCTTAACTTTAACAAATAAAATTAGTACCACCTATGTAATTTAATCACAGGAAAATAATTTGGGACCTTATATCTATTATGAAGTTCTGTGCTACTTTACTATTTTGAAGTTCATGTTATTTTGGATTGGATACAGAACCCTGAGATCTCAGTAGGCTTCTTTGATAATGTCCCCTTGGATCACTTCCTGTTGGAGAATTATCCTATTATGAAGGTTACATACACAAAGTTTATTTTTAGAGTAGAATAAAATCACCATTTCCTAAATCATAAAAATATCTTCCTAAATGTTTTAGTTCTCCACTTAAGCAGCACAGCTGACAAGGCAGAACTATACTAATAACAAGCTGATTTTGTTAGTTTTATCAAGCTGATTACGGCTTTAATTTATAGTTTTCAGTAACAATGTCATCTTTATTGTTACTGGACTGAGTGACAATGGCATCATGTTTTATGGCTCTAGGTATTAAAGGGAATTATCTTACCATACAGGAAAAGTAAAAGGAGCCATTGAGATCATTGAATTAAAAACTCAAGAGGTTATCATTCCAATGAATACTCTATTATTTATCCTGCAACATACATAAAATGAGGCAGCTCACTCAGGCCCAATAACCAATGGAGAGGAAAAATAAAATTGTTTGTTGATCACCTGTGGGCAGAAAACCTGGTTAGAATGGTAAGTTCACAGAAAGACCTGATAATCACATACCCTGATGAATGAATGACTAAATTCCCACAGCTGTCTTCTTTGCCTCTCTATTCTTCACTCACCTTTTGTTCTAATGCCAAACTTAAACATATGCTGAGGACCCATGAGGGCTAGTTAATTAGGGCTGAATGGGGTGGCGATTCTCATAGAGGGTATTATGAATACAGTCCATTATTTCTGAAACGTTTCATTTTAAGGTGAAACCTTAAATGCCTAGAATTTCTCTACAAACCAGGAGAAAGCATTACACAATGAGGTCACCACAGGGAATTTTATTTCCAGAATGTAGTGCAGGCTTTATTTTCAACCAACAGAAGCTCCAAATGACATAATCAGGAAGTGTGAGGCCTCCAGTCCACTCCTACACAATGTACTTTTATGGTTTTTAAAAATTGTCTCAGTTCTATTTCCAGGGTTAATAATGCACCCCCAGTAAATACTGGCTTGACATGCAGACCCAAAAGGTTGAAGTTCCATAATTATTATGTTAATTACTTGGAATTCATGATGTTTCAATAGGAAGACCCCTAACCCTGCCTACAATGATTTGTGGTGCATAACACCATCCAAATAACGCAAATCGTAACCACTGTGTTAAAGACAATGAAAGGACATTCAGTGAAGGAATTCAGACAGAATTGTCATTTTTCATACCAGGAATGTATCTTATGTTTCTGACTTGGAAGGGAAACTCTGTACCTACTCATGTAAAACACAGCTGAGAGACATTTTAGTGCCTTTATAGTTGGGGGCTTCTCTAAAGGGACCCTGAAGCACCCTTCCCTGAAGCAAGTGCATAGAACACTTGAGATTGTATGTATACACACAGTCATACACACACACTCACACTTCTCATTCCTTTTCATGGGCACATTTAACAAAAATTAAGCTCTAGTCTGTGTTTTTCAAAAGTATCCCAGAAGACTTTTAAATTATTCACATTCAATGGTAAAAATTGTAATAGGCTAGAGAAATTTTGTTTTCTACTTTCATAATAAAAGTGTTCACATAAATCCTAAAGTAGAGAGTGCTATTAATTAATATCAATATGCTCATTTCCCAAAACCAAGATTTTACCACATTTGTTTCATTTTTTGTCTTCCCTCCCTCTTTCTTTTCCTTTCTTCTTCTTTCTTTTCCTTTCTTCTTCTTTCTTTTTCTTTCACTTCTCTCTTTTTATTTGGTTATAAAATATTTTGAATGGAATCCAGACTTTATGCTGTTTTACATCTACATACTAAATGTGCATCTCAAAAATATGGACAATTTATTACATAGCTACAATGTCATTATGAAATCCCTGAAGTTAATAATAATGTCTTAGAATCATCTAATATTTGTTTGGATTAAAAATATTAGAATCACCTAATATTTAAGGGTTAAAAATATAGTAACCTTGAATTTAGCAGTGAAGAGGGGAAGGAAATGAGTCCACTCTGGAGTCTCTCAGGAGGGCAGCTGGAAGAGCAGTGGTGGGAGGCAGATGAAGGAGGAAAGGTAGGCTCTGTGGCCACAGTCTGCTCTGACACAGGATGGGCAACAGAAAGTCTGGCATGGTGGCTCGGATGGATGAGGCCATCAGGCAGCTGGGGGTCCATGATGTCTATAGGAAAATGAGAAGGGAAGGAAGGCAGAGAAAGATACTGCTTTCTGTCTGGCTTACTTCATCAGCATTTTTATATTAGGGTGTAAGGAAGTTGAACTACTTATACTGGGCATTGCCCATGATCCTAAAAGCAATATAATTAATACACAAATAATGAAAGTGATGAGAAATTTGTCTTGAATTCTCATATTCTAAGCAGTGTACCAGTATAGATGTTTTCTTGAGTCCTGTGAGAGGATTTACATATTGGGGAGTTTTATACAATATATCATCCTCTAAAATAACTATCTTTAGATTACACAATAATATCACAAAAGGTATATCTATAGTGAAGTGATTCCATATTCCCCTCATCCTCATGACCAGCATGGTCATTTTAATTACACTAAAAGTTTTAACAACAAAAAAAGCATGCTATGGAGAAGCTCCTTTATTTTCTTTGTAAAGCTTCCCAATCAGATTATTTTTCCAAAGGTCAAAAGACACCTGATTTAATAGTGTAAACATGTATTCTTTTTTTAAGATCTTACTCATTGCCCTGGCTGCTGTGGCTCAGTGGATTGAGTACTGGCCTGTAAACTGAAAGGTCTCAAGTTTGATTCTCAGTCAGGCAAGTACCTGGGTTACAGGCCAGGTTCTCAGTTGGGGGTGTGTGAGAGACAACTGATTGATTTTTTTCTCCCTCTCTTTCTCCCTCCCTTCCCCCCTCTCTAAAAATAAAATAAAATGTTTTAAAAAGAGAAATCCCTGGCTGGTATAACTCAGTGGATTGAGTACTGGCCTGCAAACCAAAGCATTGCTGGTTCAATTCCCAGTCAGGGTACATGCGTGAGCTGTGGACCAGGTCCCCAGTAGCGGGTGTGTGAGAGGCAACCACACATTGATGTTTCTTTCCTTCTCTTTCTGCTTCCCTTCCCCTCTCTCTAAAAATAAGTAAAAATAAAATCTTTTTTAAAAGATCTTATTAATTTTTAGAGAGAAGGGAAAGGAGGGAGAAATAGAGCTAGAGAAACATCGATGTGTGAAACATCAATCAGTTGTCTCTCGCATGCCTCCAACCAGGGACCTGGCCCACAACCTGGGCATGTGCGCTGACCAGGAATCAAATTGATGACCTTTCAGTTTGCAGGATGATGCTCAACCCCTGAGCCATACCAGTCAGAGCTATAGTGCTTATGGGTATTCTAAAGCATGTATATTTTCTTTCTCCTGAAAATGGCAAAAAATTTAACATCAGAAAAGTGAAAAATGTGCAATTAAGATGGAAACCCTTGCAATGATGGCAAAGGTGATGGACAGAGCTCTGCCCAGAGCAGGGCTTGCTCTCAGGAGGTTTATCCAATTAGAGAGACAGGACTTGATCCCTTCCTAAATTTGTATCGAAGGCTAATGGACAAAATTGAAAACCAACATTTTGCAGACACTGATTATCATAAACTGAACTTCTAAAATACAATAATAAACCTGAAATTTCAGTCTTAAATCAACAAAATGAAATGTGATTCACAAAAAAAAGGGGTATGTTATTCTCAGGTCCTATTGACCAGGTCATTTTTCCCATGGGAAAATCATTTGTTTTTATAATAATATTTTTGGCACATTTTAAGATCCTCAGGTAACAAACTGTAGTAAAAACTTCCTTTGGGGCCTCTAATAGAAAAATGTGTGTGTGTACATGTATGTATATGTGTGTGTTTCCATAGGGCCAGCCAAGTATTCAGTACTTACATTTCCCATTTTGGACAAATGGAGCTGGAAAATGCGCAAAATAAAGATAGGCAAACACTTATCCAGCACCTCTATAGACGGATTACAGTCCACCTCCAGATTTGACTGACTTTTATTTACTCCTTGGCAGGTGAGATGAAATTGTGATTAATAATAATGTCATCTATCTTCTCAAACTAGGAACAACTAACAAAGAATCCATACAAACACCTCCGCTGCCAACGGTTACTTCAATAATCACTACAGCTAAAGGTGAAGGTGAGTAATAATGTGTTTTGCCACCACTTTCTTTCTATGTATAATTTGCACACCATAATGTCATATACCATACTGTATATACTTTTAAAGTACAGAATTCAGTGTTTTTAGTATATTCACAAGATTGTATAACCATCACCACTATCCAATTCCAGAATATTTTCATCACCCCAGAAAGAAACCCTGTATTTGTTAATAATCACTTGCTACTCCCAGCTTTCATTAGCTCCTGGCAGTCACTAACCCACTTTCTGTCTCTATAGATTTGCCTATTCTAGAAATTTCATGTAAATAGAATCACATAATCTATGACCTTTTGTGCCTTGCTTCTTCCACTTGGTATAATGTTCTTAGGTTCATCCATGCTGTAGCATCTTTCTGTAGCTCATTCTTTTCTATGACTGAATAATATTTCATTATATGGATTACTAACTAGATTTCATTGATCTATTTATTCACTGGTGGACATTTGGGCCATTTCTACATTTTGGCTCTTATAAATAATTCTGCTAAGAATATTTGTTTACCAGTTTTTGTGTGACCATGCATTTTCATTTCTCTTGGGTGTATACCTTGAAGTGCTGAGTTACCATGTAGTAGTTCTATGTCTAAGTTTTTGAGGAACTGATTTCCAGAAGAGCTGTGTTTTATTACATTTCCACCAGAAATGTATGAGAGTAAAAATTCTCTATTTTCTAACCGATATTGTTGTCTGTCTTTTTCATCATAGCCATTCCAGGGGCTGTGAAGTGGTATCTCATTGTGGTTCTGATTTACATTTTCCTAATGACTAATGACATTGAGAATCTTCTCATTGACCATTGTATATCTTCTTTGGAGAAATGCCTATTTAAGTCCTTGCCCATTTTTTAAAATTGAGCTATTTGTCTTTTTATTGTTAGGTTGTAAAGGTTTTTTTATATATTTTGAACTAGATCCTATTGGATAGATAATTTGCAAATTCATTCTCCCATTCTATAGGTTGTCTTTTCATTTTCTTGATGGTATCCTTTGAAGGATTAAAATCTCTAATTTTAATGGAGCAAAATTTATATTTTCTTTTGTCATGTAGAGTAAGCAAAACTTTACCCAACTTAGGTTTTCAGCTGGGGACTTTGGCAAAAAGACTTACAGCAAAAAAAGAAAAAAATACAGTTTATTAACACATGCAGTGCACATCGTGTGAGAAACGTAAAACAAAAGTAACTCAGAACAGCAGCTTAGAATTCAGTTTATATCCCATCTTCAACAACAACAACAACAACAACAACAAAAACCCCAGTAAATCTGTAAAAAGAAAAAAAGAGAAAGGGAAATAGAGAATGACAGGACAAAGAAAAATGGTTAAGCCTCTCCAGGGTGGCAGACTGAAGGAAGGTAAATATATGAAAGGAAACTTAATGGACTAAGTTTTGTTTGCAAATTCCTCTGGTGCCTTCTCTGGGCTGATAAAGGTTTGTCTCCAGTAAAAGAATTTATATCCTGCCTTTAGGCAGAAAACGGGAAGCTTTTCCTGCATTTGCTGTTTCTTAATTGCCTTCAACTTAAATTTTTGTCAAAGACACATAGTTTGGGGTGACACTCTAGTTTTCGTCAGTCACTTGTGCAGTGGGGTTCAATCCAAGAAATCATTGCTCAAGTCACAAGATTTACACCAATGTATTCTAAGAATTTTATAGTTTTGGGTCTTACATTTAAGTCTTTGATTTTGTATATGATGTAGGGTAGAAGTCTGGCTTCCTTCTTTCACATGAAATTATTTATTTGTCTTAATACCATTTTTTAAAAAAGACTATTCTTTCCTGATTTGAATTGTCTTGGCACTCTTAATGAAAATCAATCAGCTATAAATGCATGGGTGTTTTTTGGACTTCCAAATTTATTCCATTTATCTTTATGTTTATCCTTGTCTCAGCATTATACACTCTTAATTACCACAGTTTTGCATTAAGTTATGAAATGAATGCTCCAACATTTTTCTTCTTTTTCAAGATTGTTTTAGCAATTCTAAATCACTTTAATTTTCATACAAATTTTAGAATCAATTTGTCAATTTCTTCTAGAAGTCAACTGAGATTGTAATAGGGATTACATTAAATCTGTTTGGGAAGATCATTTTGGGAAATGTTGGCATTTTAACAGCCTTAATTCTTCCAATCCATGAGTATGAGGTGTTTTTCCATTTATTTAGATCTTTTCAAATTTCTTTTGGTAATGTTTACAGCTTTCAGTATCAAAGACTTGTTCTTCTTTTCAATTTATTTCTAATATTTAATTAATTGTGAAGATGCTATAAGTGGAATCACTTTATTTATTTTACTTTGGATTGTTCATTGCTACTATAAAATTTATTTTCAAATAGTAAAAATGTACCCTGCCACATTATTGAGCTCATTTATTGGTTCCAATTTGTGCATGTGTTGTGTGTGTGGGGGGGGTTCCATAGGATTTTCTATATCCAAGATTCATCTGCAATTAGAGATATTTTGCTTCTTTATTTCTAATATGGATGGTTTTTATTTTATTTTCTTGCATATCTGCCCTGGCTAGAACCTTCAGTACAACTTTGAATGGAAGTGGTGAGAGGAGGTATCTTTGTTTTGTTCCTAATTATAAGGGAATGCCTTTAGTCTTTAATCATTAACTATGATGTTATTGTGGGTTTTTCACAGATGTCCTTTATCAGGCTGAGGAAATATTCTTCTATTAGTAGTTGGTTGAGTGTTCTTATAAGACATTGGATTGTGTCTTATATGTTATCTTACTATATTGAGATTATTATGTGATTTTTATGTCTTGTTTTGTTAATATGATATTGATTTCTGTATGCTGAACAAGCTTTCATTCCTGGATAAATCCCACATGGTCATTGCATATAATGTTTTTTATATGTATATAGCTGGATATGACTTGTATTATTTTGTAAATATTTTTGTGTCTACACTTATGAGATATAGGTTTGTGGTTTTGTGGGGTTTTTTTCTTGTGATGTTTTTGTCTGATTTGGTTATGAGGTTAGTGCTAGCTTCATGGAATGAATTGGGAAGTATTCCCTTCTCTACCAATTTTTGGAAGCATTTATGAAGAGTTGTTCCTTAAACATTTGTCAGAATTTACCAGTAAAGCTATCTGGTCCTTGTATTTTACTTGTGAAGAAAGTTTGTATCTCAACCTCTTTATCTGTTATAGGTCTATTCAGACTTTCTATTTTTTCTTGACTTACTTATCTAGTTGTTCATTTGCTAAGAATTTGTCCATTTCCTCTAGCTTCTCTAATTTGTTGGTACACAGTTGTTCATAGCATTGCCTTATAATCCTTCTTATTTTTGTTAAGATGATAGTAATGTCCTCAATTTAATTCATTCTTTTAGTAATCTGTGTCCTCTTTTTGTTAGTCCAACTAAAAGTTTATCAACTTCTTTGATCTTTAAAAAATAACTTCATTTTATTGATTTCTGTTACTGTTATACTTCCTTCCTCCCTAATATTTATTATTTCTTTCCTTTTGTTCCCATTAGTTTAGTTTGCTCTTCTATTTCTAAATTCTTAAGTTGGAAGGTTAGGATATTGATTTAAAATCTTCTTTCTTCTTTAATAATCATTGGTTTACACCAATACATTTCCCTCTCAGTGCTATTTTTGCTATATTTCATACATTTCCATATACTACATATTCATGTTCATTCATCTCAAAGTGTTTTCTAATATCCCTTGTAATTTACTTATTGACCAATTTGTTTTTTACGATTGCATTGCTTAACATCTACATATTTATTAATTCCTCCCTACTAAGTTTTTTAAAAATATTTTCCTTCTAGCCCTGGCTGGCATAGCTCGGTCGATTGAGTGCGGGCTGCAAACTAAAGTGTCGCAGGTTCAATTCCCAGTCAGGGTACATGCTTGGGTTGCAGGCCATGACCCCCAAGAACCACACATTGATGTTTCTCTCTATCTCCCTCCCTTCCCTCTCTAAAAATAAATAAATAAATAAAATCTTTTTTAAAAATATTTTTCTTCTGTGCATTTACTGTCTATCAGAGTTTACTCTTCTTAAGCACTTAATTTTAAAGCTAAGTTGAATTTAATTAAAAATAAATGGTATAGAGACTATTGTAAAGAATATTATGGATATCCTTTTCTCATGAGGCAGAGCATAATAAGCCTGACTTGCAAGGGCTTTGCAATTTTTTAAAATACTATTTTTAAAACAGTGCATTTGACTCTCATCTTAAAAAATTTATTATCATTTTTAGATTGGTTTAATATTATTATTTAAACACTTATTTAAAGACATGAATATCAGTTTCAGAAAGGTTAAACTGGCATAACAATTTTTAAAAAAAATTTATAATAACAATTTTGAATTTGAAATTTGGTCCTTTAACTTCAAATTTTTCTTTCTACTTAACAAATTCATAACCAACTATTTCTTAATGAATTGATATTATTTTAATCTCAATTCATCATTTGGCTATTAAATAGTGATCCTTTCAGGTATTAATAAGACTCACACAGCTTTTCTTTTTCTCCCTCCACAAAGTGGTCACCAAATTCTGTAAATATTTGTTTGTTTGTTTCTGTTTTTGGTACATGCTCTTCTTTTTCCCCGCTTTCAGGCTATCCCTTTGGAGACATTGCCAGCCTGCTATGGATGGTTATTTCTTTTAAGTTACTGCTTCAAATGCAAGCAACTTAACATGCACACACAACAACAACTTTTTAGAATTGTGTTTACAAAAGACTAAATAAGTCCAGGTGAAAAGTCCCCCTTTCGGTACCCCACTGTGCAGTTGTTGTGAACCACAGTTTTCAAAAGAGCAACTCAAATGTTCCAGAAGCTTTTAATGTCCCTATAAGCATCATTGGTATTATTCACTGATATATAAAAACTTGTAAGTAAATAGGACCACTAGATAATAAGAGAAAATAAAGGAGAAGCTCCTACCAATATATTCTCTGGCTCCAAGAAACACAATTAAAATAGATTTTAAGGAAGTGGA